AACATTCCAGTATTAGACGCAGTGGTGTCATAACATATTGCTAAATTTGATCAAAAATTTGGTAATACTTAAAAGATTTAAGATTACATCTGCCTGGTCAACACTCTTAGGGTTTTTAGTTTGAGCTACTACTTGGAGGATATCATTTGTGTAAGCAGTACTGGTAAAGTAACACTACCTGAATTTTTGTTAACAATAACAGTAATATTTAAATTATGCTCCACTTGTTTGATCTTTTTGCTGACAAAGTGCAGGATTAAAGTTTTTTCTCCTTAAAGTTTCCATTATATCTTGTCTTATCTGGTCTCCTATTAATCAAAATAGTTTTATCACTTATGAAACTAAATCGGTATTTATCGCAGCTTTTCTACTATAATTCTTACCTAGACCTTCAGTCTTTTTAAATCTTATTTGATAAACAGAACTTTTGAAAATAAGAATATTTTAAAGATTCACGTCTAATTTATTTCATATATCTGCAATGATCGCAGTTTGAGGTTGGATTTCAACTCTCTACCGAGCAGATAATACAGATGTAAAATCCATCAGATCATCAGGAATAATATTTATAACTATCTAAATAATAAATAATAATTATGTTTTGACTCTAATTGACATTTAGTTTAGTTTGTTCAAAATCAAATAATCCATTTTTATATTTTGTAATCATCATTTTTTTACCTAGTCTTGAAAAATCAGTACATTGAATTAATTCATCAACAGAATCTTCATTTGTGAAAGGTACAGCTTCTGTGTCAGATGCAGAGAAACCAGCATAAGAATCTAAAGAAACATCATTTAGATGCAGGTCTTTTTTCGTCTGCTCTTTCTCCACTTCTGCAATTTTTTTGATGTTTATTCATTGCAACCCATCTTCTCTATTTTTAATAAATACTTTAAATTTACTTTTTACCTCTGTTGTAATAAACATTTTTCTATCTTGTTCCTGGTCCAAAAAAACTTATTATTTTCTCCTTACAGCACGTATTTTATTGCGTTTAACTCTAAATTACACATGCTTTGTATAATATGAACAGAAATCTAATAATACTGGAATTTTTATGCTTATTTGATGCATGGAATTCATTACATAAACTTATTCTGTGCGAAGCAAGAATACATATGTATAAAGGAGCGTATTCATCAAATTATTTTTTACGTATATTTAGCATAAGTTTGGTGTAGGTTTATACAGTGAAGTTCGTATTCACAAAACTTGCGCAGTTGCGTTTAACAAAACTTACATAAGTTTTTCCTTAAGTTCAGCGCTAAAAAATATAGTATTCACCAAACTGATATGGTATTCACCAAACTTTTTTACTTTAACCAAGTTACGTTAGCTATGAGTTGCCTTAACTTTTGCGTAACGTCAAAATCACTAAAGATTAATATGTTGTAATATTAATATGGTTTATATTTTATTAAATTGACATGGAATCTTTTTATAAGTTATAATATATGCATTGTATTACTTGTATATAATGCAAGTTATGTATATAAACTAAATACAATAAATTAAAGTTAATAATAATCCTAGATATTGACACAAATACAAATCATTATCATTATAATTTAACGACTTATTAACTTGATAACATCTTAATACTTATATTATTATAAATTATTGTAAAAAAGTATCTTATATTATATTATTATTATATTTTTGTATATCACCAATTTATCACCTTAAAATAATAATTTGACAGCATAAAATAAAATCTTTTTATATTTAAATTATATTCATTATGATTATAAATTGTGTTATGCATTATGCATTATGACTATAAGTAAGTATTGATATTACATTAACAATAATTTTTTACCAATCGCATTGAGAAGCAACCCAATTTCTTCAGAAACAAAAATGCTAATATCAATTAGACTTTTGTTAAAGTAACTGGGAGTTTTTAAAGAGTAATAGGTAAAAATTATTATTCAATTAAAAAAAAAAATTGGATACAAAAAAGAATAATTTTTTGATCATTTATTGTTTAATATGACTTGATTTATCGACTTACTTAAAAAAATATTTTTCTTTTTCCAGAGATATTGTTAAAAGGTATCCTGAATCAAGAATTTTTTTTATCTAATTCTGAAATAAAAAAGACATTAGATTATAATCCTAATGCAGTTTTCTTTTTAGCTTGTTAACAGTTATGATTACACTATTAAATCAGCCAACTAAACCAGAAAAAATATAATCCAATAAAGTTGACCTAGAGGTAGATAGTAATGTTGAATAATCCTTTGTTCATTTCAAAAACCATTGAGATGTCACAAGAGATGTATAGCTTTTCAGTGCTCCTTACATATGGTCACCCAAACAATATATTGTAAAATATATTTTATTGTAAAATATATTTTTGTTTTGATACCGGAAAATCTTTGCAATTATTAAAATTAGAAATTGCAGATGACATAGAATTTGAAAACAATTATGAAGATGATATTCACGATGTTCAGGCTAAACTAGCACAATTCAACCAAATCAACTTGCCATTGTACAAAGAACATTAGTTAAAACATTGTTTCAAAATCGAAGGTGATAATATATTGTTAAATCATTGGCAAATGTTACAAGGATTTTTTTGATATTTTATATATGACTTGTTTAACAATAAGCGTTACTGCAATTCGATAAACTTTGGCAATGAGGTAAATTTCGATAATTAGATAAGTTATATGGGCGCTCAGTTTAAAATGCAATGTTTAGTTAGGAGATTGCGATGCTGTCATTTTTATGGAGCAAATTGTTAGGCGATTCATTGTGAGTTAAATCATCGAAGTATAAAACAGATGGAAGTTCATCAAGTTGCAATTTCAAGTCGTTTGAAACCGACAATAATAAAAAAAAAAAAAACAAGTTTCACTAGATAAAAAAAAACTAAATGTACTGAAATGATTTTTATTTAAATACAAAAAAATTAACTATTCTAGGGATATATTGCAAAATTTTACCCATTAGTAATTGCAATTATTAAGCAATAGGTGTATTAAAACTCGTAAAATAAATAAATCCTCGTGATTTTAAAAGCGTATGTCAGTTTAATTTTCTTTTCTTACTTCAAACAATAACAATACATTTGATTAAAAAGACAACTAAAACAATTTTTAAAAACTAAAAAAAATTGTTTGCTAAATAACTAAAGTTTAAGGTTTCATTAGATGTATATCATAATTCCATTCATATTTATAGTACTCCATTCATTTAATATAAAGTTTATAAAAAAGTTGTTGTTTGCCGTTTCGTTGCGCCTTTTTTAATGTTTTTCTTGAGTTTTATTGGCGAACCTTTAAAATAATATATTATTAAATTATGATAAACTATTTGGGTCAACGTATAAAGATTAAGTGTTTATTATACAGCCTTAATTCGTTTTCTTATTGTTTACGAAACAAAAGATTTCAAGCATACTCTCAAAGAATTTCAATGCCGTTAAACTTCCATATGTTTTATAGTTCCATGGTTAAATCTAATAGAAAAGTTGAGTGCGATTTAATCAAATAAAGTCTTTTTCTAACCGCTAATGCGGTAACGCCAAAGCTAAGACTTGATTATTCATAATGCAAACTCAAAATGCAACGTTTTTGCAAAATAATTTTTTTCCTCGTTGATTTTGAACCTCAAGAGAGTTCAACGAAATAGAAAAATTGAGAGGTATCAGGGGAAAAAAAAGTTTTTTTCTGGGACACCTTGTATAAGCCTCGATTAACGGTGCTATGTCTGATCGGGGTTCAACTAATTTTTACTTAAAAAAAATTTGCTTTTACATTAAAATTACAAAGATTACCTTTGGAAAATCTAATTTTATAACGTTGGAAAATCAAATGCTAAAAAATCTAATGTTATCAATTCTTTTCTTTTTTAACCTTAATATTACGTTATTATAAATAACGTAATATTAATAACAGCGTTATTAATATTACGTTAATAACAGCGTTATTTAACACTGATTCAACGACTATTTTAATGTTGAAGTAGTCGTTGAGTAATTCAAGAAAAGCAGCCTCTCTTAATAAACATTCAAAAACTTTGAATCAAGGCAGTTTTAAAGTCATTATAACAGTCAATAATGATGATGGTATTCACGTCATCTATTCTTGAAGATTTATTTGTTTTAAGTCTTCTAAAGATAATTCAAGTTCTTTATATGTCAATTCCTCCTTTTTATGTTTATTTCTATTATTTGGATGTATTTTATAATGATTTTAGATTGATAAATTTTACTGCGAAGTTAAGTCCTATATTGACAAAAAAAAAAAAAAAAGTTGAATTCGTTTGCTGTATTGTTTTTGTTGTCAATAGTTTTCTTTTTAATATTTAGAACTTTTGAAAAAAATTATTTTATTTTTTTGGCGTTTAAATTAATGTTGTTGTGGCCTAAACCTTTTACAAAATGTTATGACCCGAAATTGTAAACTACATGTAAATTTAAAGGCTGAATTTGGTTTAAATTTAAAAATTGGATAATTTCGTGCAGAGTTAATTTGTAAATAATCAAGTTCATCAAAATATAACTTTTAACGAAATGTAAATATTATTTTTGTTACATGGCTGTGCTAAAAAAAAAAAAAAAAACTTTTTGCCATCAAATAAAAAATAGCCATTCCTAAAATGTATGGAGCTCATATATGTTACTAAAGTATGTTTTATACTATGATTTCTTACTTTTATATATTTTTAAAAACAAATACTCATACTATACAGTACAAAAATATCATTTTGCCATTTGTCAGTAGAATCTTTTTTGGCCATTGCTGCAAAATGTTTATGAGTGGTTTTATATAACCATTGAATTTTTAAAATCTTTATAATGACGTCAAGTTTAACTAATAAAATATATGTTGGAGGAAGTTATTCAAGTTTTACCTAACAAAAAGTGACCTGAAACTTTTTCATCAGAAAAAATAGTAATGCCTTTCCTAAATAAAAAATGTTGGTACTTTGTATTAAAAGTAATAAATTATAAAAAAAAAAAAAATATTTTTTATTTTTCTAGAACAAATGCAGCCTGCTATGTTTCAAAAGATAACGGCGAGTTTTGGGCAGGTTGATAATTTTTTTTTATGTTTGTATGTATATAGGCATGTTTATTTTTTTTATTTATTTTTGAAAATAAATATCAATTGGTTACAACTTTAATTCAATTTTACATTACATAATCTATATTCACAAACTTAAAACGTTTCTAAACAATTTTATATAAACTCATTTAAGTTCGATTTTTTATTAATCCAAGTTTGCATAAGTTAATATGTTAAAGTACAGTTGAATATGCTATAAATATCGTGTAATAGTTCAAACAGTTGAAATTATTGATTCAACATAGTTGAATTTTATAAATACTTGCATATATAAACATTGTGTTCCCTCTCCTTACATATATATGTATATGTTACGCACAGATCACGAAATCGCGCATTTCACGAGCTGTGCAATTTCTCGCTCATTTCGTGAAGTGGATAACGGTGTTACGCAGAATATGAAAAAAAATTGCACAATTCATAAAATGCGCGACTTCACTGTGCGTAACATATATACATGTTTACACACACATACAAATTAATACAAGCATTTATACATATACAAGTTTGGAATTATATATATATATATATATATATATATATATATATATATATATATATATATATATATATATATATATATATATATATATATATATATATATATATATATATATATATATATATATATATATATATATATGTTATACATTTATATATATATATATGTTATACATTTATATATATATATATATATATATATATATATATATATATATATATATATATATATATACATATATATATATATATATATATATATATATATATATATATATATATATATATATATATATATATATTTAAATAAATATATATATATATATATATATATATATATATATATAAATATATATATATATATATATATATATATATATATATACATATATATATATATATATATATATATATATATATATATATATATATATATATATATATATATATATATATATATATATATATATATACATATATATATAAATGTATAACATATATATATATATATATATATATATATATATATATATATATATATATATATATATATATATATATACATTTATATATATATATATATATATATATATATATATATATATATATATATATATATATATATATATATTTATATATGTATATATATATTTATATATATATATTATGTTATATATATATATATATATATATATATATATATACATATATATATATATAATATATATATATATATATATATATATATATATATATATATATATATATATATACTATTTCTTTATAAATATACTCATAAAACTTTAAATAAATTATGTTCAAATAAATTCATTAATTTTATTTCAGCAATTAAAGGTTTAGCATTTGTGAGCAGGAGCGTGAATTATGTAGATAGTATGTTTTTAACAAAAATAATGAGGTTTTGACTTTTTGCAGTACTCCTTCAGTAAGTGATAATATAATTTATGTAACAGTGTATAAAAAAGTAATTTTTTTGGAGTGAATAGTCTTATTAAGATAGTTTTGAGCTTTTTTATAAAAATGAAAGTGGTTTTCGAAATTTGATTATTTACGTAAATGAGATTGATTACAGGATTTATTTTCATTAAGTCAAATATTTAGAAATTTCGAAACGAAATCACTTTATTTTCCCAATATCGTCAATATATACTTGTGGTAAATTTTCTGGTAAAAATTGCTATTTCGCCCACATATGAAATACAGTCTATTTGGTTTTAAAAATATTCAAAATTAGCTTTTTGTATTTAAAACATATTTTTTTTATTCTTATATCATAATAATAGAGAATTTCTATATGTTACTGCTTGAGGGGAACATCTTGGTATTATCTGCGTGAATGATGCTTATTTACAAAGATGGTAGAAACTTTATTAAGATCATTTTTTATATATTAGGAAAAGACGGTGTCCGAGATTTGAACCCTTAGGAACACCGCTGAAGATTTCAAAACAATTGCTTTGAGAACCGTGGTTACTAATTACAAACTGTTTACTTTTTTTAAGTAGCTTCTAAACAATTTAAAAGCAATACATTTAGTTTAACAGTATTTTAGATTTTGAAATAAAATGTTATGATCTGTTTTATCAAAAGCTTTTGATTGGTCAATAAACCCAGAGACCATTTGTTTTTAAAAGTTACGTTCTAAATGTATTTTAAATGTCTTTTAAACGTCTTCTAATCATGATTAGGTAAAGAACGTTTGAAAATGTTTAAAAGACGTTTAAAAAAGTTTAACAGACGATTAAAAATGTTTAAAAGAAATTTAGAGTCTAACTTTCAAAAAAGAAATGCCCGAAGGGATGCCTAACATATAATACAATTTTTTAAAAGAGTACGAGATTTCATGCACCAACTGAATTATTGCTTAACACCCGATGTTATGTTATCTTTTTATAAACCAAATTGTTTGTTGTATTGCAAAGTATTTGTGCGGAGGTATTTGTTTATTCTAAAACATATTTTTTTCAAAAATTTTTGAAAATATTAAAAGAACAGAGGTAAGACAATATTTGGTAATATTTGACGTTACTTACTTTAGAGAAAGGAGTATTTTCAGCAGTTTATAATTGCTCTAGAAATATTCCTTGATTAATAGAAGCTTAATTAAGAAAACGTTTTAATATATTAATTCAATCTATAATTACATTTACATTAACTTCATCTGCTTTTGTTTCTTCACACAGATTTCAAACCTATTTTAAATTCCTCAAAATTAGTTAACTCCGCGCAGCAAATGTAAAAATTTATAGGTGAGAGAAAATCATAAAAAAAATTGGAATCTTATTTAATAAAGAGAGACCTATTTCTATAAAAAAACCTTTTAAATTCTAGGTATATGGGTCTTAGATCATAAAAAAAAAGTTATCGACTTTAATTATTTACGGCAGAAAACTAACCCAGTGAGCACGGTATGTTTTTTAAATGTTCTTGAAACGTTTTTATTAAGTATAAACCTAATAAAAACGTGATAAAAAAAACCGTGCCCGCTGTAAAGCATGATTTTTAATTTCCAGTTTTTTTCCAAAATTTACCATATGCGTTTCAAGTGCGTTTTAAATTTTTTTTTAAGTTTTTATGTAATTTTTCTAATAAATATTTGTAGTTTTTATATACTTTTTTGTTTGCAATTGTTTTTGGATATTTAATAAACAACAGTTTTGTTAATCCCATCGTAATTTAGAGACATTTTGAGCTTTTATTTGTTAAAAAATTTGAAAATTAGCGTCGCACACAGAAAATAATATTTAAAAAAATGATTTATAGATGTTAATTAAATTATCAATAAAATCAATGCGATTCCAATAGAGTAAATATAGCTAATCTCAAAGTGATTTAATTTTTTTGTTGTTGAAAAATTCGTTTTTTTACAACTGTTGGAGTAAATTTTTTTCTAAGTTTGAGTTTATAATATGAAATATAAGAAAAGGATCAGATATACCAGATTTTAAAATACCACTTTGAATATTTTTGTCGGAAATGTCGGTTATGATGATATTATTTAGTATTCATTGTTACTCTATATATTATTATTCATTGTTAATCTCTATATTGTTATTAATTGTTACTCTAGTAGAAAAATTCATTAAGAGTATAGATTCCGAATCAAAAATTTTACTATGAAACTTTTTAACTTTCGATTCATCATTTTAAAGAAAACATTTCGTGTTTTAGTTCCCAATTACAAAACACATTTTTTCTGCGTCACTTCCTTTCAGAACTAGTTGTAAAAACTATTAAAATAGTACCTATAAAATTTTAACGCAAAAAAAACTTGTTTTGAAAAGAATAGATAGAAGAATAGATAATAAAAGTAAAAAGCAACTGAACTTAGGCTATTTTTATTATACACTGGCCAGATTGTTTAAGCGAATGGTTTAGCCAAAAGTCTATTCAAACTTTTTCAGGTCAATTAAAAATTTTTATTTAAAAAGTGTCGGGAGAAGTTGTAAAAGTTTTATAATATAATATATATAATGTACGTGTTACCTATAAAATTTAAAACTAACAGTTAAATTTTTTTTTTTCTTGTTTAAGTGATAGTATAGTACTAGGCTGCATTATTCTTTTGAGTTAAACAGGTTATAGTCTAGGAGATGACAATAATCATTGGACACGCTTTAAGAAAAAAAAATCGAAGTCATTAAATTTATTTGAAGTAATATGAATCGGATACAAATAAGTAAAAGAGGTATAGAGTTTTCCAAAACCAAAATATAACAAAATCAAGTCAATTTTATCTAAATACACGTACAAAAAATATGTATATGTATATATATATACATACATATATATATATATATATATATATATATATATATATATATTATATATATATATATATATATATATATATATATATATATATATATATATATATATATATATATATATATATATATATATATATATATATATATATATATATATATATATATATATATATATATATATATATATATATATATATATATATGTGTATACTTTTGTCAGTAGCGATTTCGAAATGAACAAATACAACGATAAACGACTAAACGCAACTCTATAAAATGCTTTTTAAATATCATCACGATATAGTTTTGAAATATATAACTTTTTACGTATAAATATTGTAAAATAGTTAGGTTTTATTAAAATATTTATTTATTAAAAGGAAATGGAATGAAGAATACAAATATTGTGCTTTACCTATAACGACCTTGCAGGACGTTTTTGTTTCATTCCATACACTGAGTACGAAAAACATACTTTTTTGGCCATTAGCTGTATTAAAATTTGCCGCTGTAAATTGTCTCTTATCTCCTCCAACCGAAGTAAGAAAGTTCATCTAAAATAAGAAAACAAATGTAATATAATTGGTTGTACTAAAAGTATAATGGTTCCTCATGTGTATGTATTAGACGGTTTTCCATAATGTGATTCTTATTAAAATATGACATTATGGGAGATGTAAAAGTAATTGGTTTTAAATAGATTATGACATCTGTAGCGGTGAATACCCCCTATAGATGTCAAAGATATTTGAGATTAGTAGTCATTGCTACACAAAATACATTGCTAACTAGGCATAAAAGATAAAAATCACAATAAAATGTAATAAGCATTTATATATAACATTCTGATATACAACATAATTATACTCAATCACGTATCATATTGTATCATTTGTTTGTATGTTTCATATAAATGTATCATACATTTTAAAAATTAGAAACTATAATAGTACATTGAACTGTTTCCAAAAACTATTAACTAATATCAATTTATATATAGATATATACTATTGGTTCATAAGGTGTCTGTCATAATTTTTCTTTTAGGTTTAGAAGATCTTTTTTCCTCTATAACCGGCAAATAAATTCAATAAATTAAAAGAGATAGTCAAGCAAAGCTCTGATGGAATCACTTAACCCTAAAACACTAAAGATTTCTTCTTTAATCTTTGAGAAACCGAAAGACAATCTCATCAGTGTCACTTTTTTTGTAACCTGCATCCTTTTAAGCTGAAGGCACAGATAATTATGTTCTAAGGCAGTCTCATAACTATCAAAAAAAAGTAAAAAGAAGAGGTGAAACCATACTAAACAATCAACATTTACTATATTTGAGTCAAACATAGCTGTTTAGATAAAAAACAAAGACAATACTGTAAATAAAACAAAAATAATATTGTAAATAAGACAACTACCAAAAAACTCTTATTTTCAGCTGCTTTCAGTTACTTTTAAAAGCGTGTCTTAACGTATGGCAGCCTAAAGACAAGATGCTTGCAAGTGATTTGGCCAATACACCAAACTTTCATTGATTCGCCATGAAAAACAGATTACATTCATGGCACACATATTGTTTTTTCATTGAAAAATTCAGCCAGAGCAAATTTTCTAAACTTTATTACTATCTTCAGTTTAACGGTACATCAGCTAAAATTAATCACAAATAAATTTAATAAATAAAAATACTTCAGATTAACTTTCTTTTTTGAAATTATTTTTTTTTTAACTGAAAATATTAGTCTAAAAATTATTGAGTTTCATTTCTTAATGTTTAATGTAATCGCTTTTTATTGCAAGTAGAGTTTAAATATTGGTTAGTAAAAAAAAGTGAATTTTAAAGGTTGCGCGATTTGGAAACGTTTCTATGATAATATTTTCTTATTTAAATATGACATCAAGGAAGATAAACAACTTAAGGCTCTAGTAAATATTTACCCCAAGATTACGAGATTGAAATTAGCATGAGATTAAGTTTTCATGCTTAATTGAATGAGTCAGCCAGGCATAAAATATTTTTCTCAGTTATGGAACACTGAAGAAAAGTGTCTTTAATATACAACACTAAAAAAATAAACATAAAACTTATTCGGTGTTTAATTAATTTTAGTGATTCGGTGTTTAATTGAAAGAGTTTTGATACAACATATTGTCATTATTATTAATGTTGTTATTAATATTATTTAAGGTTATAATTTTACAAATAGAATAATTAGGTATATAAAAAAGCCTATCAACCTTTTGTTCTATTGTATCTAATTGTGTCCGTCTAATTGTTTATATGCAATTGTAGATTTGATGAACCCAAGATGCATCTAATTGTTTTTTAAATGTCGTGACAAATGTTGAACACTATTTCAGATGGTAGACTATTCTACAAATTTGTGAATTCCATATTAGAAAAGTTTTTTCTGGACATCTGTCTTACAAAACATTTTTTTCAATTTATAAGCATGAACCCATGTTGTTAAGTTGAAGTTAGTCATATTGGAGGAATAAATACTAACTAAATATATAATCATATAATAATATTAAGAAGTGGGCATATTAGCACGCATGCTATTACAACTCAGATTAACTACGTAATGGGCTGTAGTTACAATAATAAATATAATGGCTGTATAATGTAATAATAAATGTAATATAAATAAATGCAGTAAATATAAATGCAGATGACATCATTCTGACACAGGTGTTGATAGATAAAGTACTGAATGGTATTTTATGAGGAAACAAAAGGGTTGCAACCTCAATTATAAAGATTGTTAATGCGTTTGAAAGTTTTTGCCATGTCATTGCATAAGAAACGATAGCTCATGCTAGTTAAATTTAGTCTCAGTAGTCTTTGGTTGTAAGTTAGTTCAGTCTGACCAAAAACAAACTTACTAGACTAGCATAGAACATTTTAAATTAATTTTTGATCTTTTTAAAGTCTAGGATGGTAGACAGAGCTGCAAGATTCAAGGTGAGGACGAATAAGGAAAATAAACAAAGTACGAAATGTCATGATATTGAGATTGACAAATGATCTTTTGATCATTCCTACAACTTTATTGGCGGTGTTACTCTTATTACTTACAAAACAAAGTCAAATTACTGTCAATGAAGATCCCTTTATTGACAAGAGAGTTTTAAATATTAATTGAATTGTTGAGATATTTATCAATAATTATATAAATGAATTTTGTATTTGCTGGTCCTAAAGACATAACTTTACATTTTTTTACATTAAAACTTAGTTTTCATAGTTTTGCCCAGTTTCCTTTAATGTCCATATATTATTGCAGGTTATTGTATGGTGAGCTATAAAAAAGCAAAGTGTATAACTTACTATCATCTGTAAATACAGATACAACATCTAAAACCAAATTAGGTAAATCTTTATTATATATCATAAAAGTAAATAATGGGGGACCCCACTAATTACTATTATCCATTCTGAGTATGTACTACCAACAATGATACTCTAATGCCGATCTCTTTAATAACATTAAAATCCAATTGTAGAGTTAGTCATTTATTCTATTAGCTTTTAATTTTAGAAGTAGGAGTTATGAAATGTTTTGAAAGATTTCAATATATCTGACATAAATTTTCTATATCAGTTTTATTCTCCAAGGCAAATGTTCAACATTAATCCTCACTAAAGTTTATTGCATTTTCAAAGTCGCATTTATATAATTATTATTATTTTCAGCAATACTTATTGTGTGAATTTTACTTTAATCTTGTTTAACTACTCTTAACATAACGTGATGTAGCAGATCTAGTTTAACTTATTGATTTCTTTATTACCTATAACATTGCATTAAACTATTGCATAAAGTAAAATGCACTATTTCAATCTTGAAACTTAAGTATAGCCATATTTTTCCTATTTTTCTCGTGATTCAATATGTTTAATTTAATTACAACCACTTCGTTTCGTAATTTAATCCGTAATGTTGAATAAAATAAATTTATTACTCTTACCACTTCTTCTCGTGATACTATCTGTTTCAAAATAAATTACCAACACTTCTTCTCCTGATTCACTCTGTAAATGTTGATTTAAAAATACTTTTCCTACTTCTTTTCTTTTTATAAATTAAAACTTTTGTTTTGAACTATTATTTGTTTTTGTAAAAAAATTATTAATATAAGGAGGCCAGTTTATGTAAAAAGATGCTTTTGTTTACATTCAACAAAAGTAAAGGATATTATGAATATTCCTTAATGTTTCGCATGCGTACCTATACGTAAAATTTAATATAAAGCCAATATTGGCAAACAATATTTCGCTAATATTGGCATAACAATATCAGTAAATTGATAAATGGGATAATATTGGCGCAATATTTCGCCAATATTGGCGTAACAATTTTAGGAAAACGATAATAGATAATATTGGCGCAATATTGTTTGCCAATATTGGTAAAACAATATTGGCGTAATATTGCTTGACAATATTGGCGCAATATCGGATATCTTGGCCAAGATTAGCCAAGATACCCAATATCGTGCCAATATTACTTTAATATTGTTTGCTACTTGGGGTGTTTATTTGAGCCATCCTTCGGTATTTGAACAAGAATTTTTAATTTACCTGAAAAATTTTCGTATTTGAGCGAGGAACATCTATCAAGTACTTAAAATTTAACTGTATCATTTTCTATATGTGTTAAATAATGGACAATATAAACTAGTTGATCCTTACGATCAAAATCTTTAATAAAACTTCACAAAATAAGTAGCTGACTATCAAAATTAACATATTATTTCAACAAAATAAAACATTATGAAATTAGAACTGCAACTGAAAGATCTTAAAAGTTTGATTAGACTTTTGGCTAAACCATTCCCTTTAAACAATCTTAAGTCCAATTGCTTTTCATTTTTATTATGTAATTAAGACCTTGGTTTTCTAAAAAATTTTCTTGGAATGTAACGACGTATCTGAAACAATCCGCCAGATAAAGTAATGATTTTAATCAGACAATTGACAGCATTTCGGTGATTTAAGCGTAAGTTGATGAGACTTCGAATACCCCTTAAACTCTAAAATAAACTTTTTCACTATGTCAAAATTTAATTCAATTTAACACACTACTAAGATGCTAAGAATGCTTTTGATGACAAAAAATCTGAATCAGCGCTTTAAATTAGTGAAATGAGTGGGAGTACTGTCTTTCCACACCACTCTCCTTTCTAAACACAACGCTCACAACAGTTATAACCATTATGTCCCTTTATACGCTTAACAAATACTCTAGCTGGTGCATCACATATGATAACAGCAAGAATGATTTTTTACTCAAAATTTTTATAGATAAAACCATATTTTGCAAGAACTTTAAAATCTACCAAAAAATTATGTAGATGATTAAAAATGGAATTAGATTTTTGGACACTACTTTTTGAACAAATCGAACACAATTTTTGTCCCCTAATATTGTGAGTCCTAGGTCTATAAATAGCAACAACTTTTGTCAGTCCTAGGTCTATACACAGCAACGACTTTTGGAAATTTTATTTAAATTTTCTTTTAGATTTATATTTAAATTGAGTATTATTCTCTTTTACTATCACCTATCAAGCTGATTAAACTGAAGTTATCAGCTTCATCTTTTATGTAGAGCTAATGTTTAAAGCTAAAGCTGAAATATCTGCTGCAACTCCTACTCTAATCAACGTAATATATAAGGATAATATTTACTTTAATCATTATATTTATCCCCCAAAGTTCATTCAATTCTATAATACATAAGTCTCTCACTAATTCAAATATTAAAAAGTTTTACTATTGTTATTATAAATATATTTACTAACCTGTCATTACTAATATTTGTTAAAAATATATTCTGGTTGTTGAAGTCACTTTTCAGTATGCAAATGTTTTCAACAGTCAGAGTGAACCATGTAAATATATTCTAAAACATGTTCCAAAATGCAAGATATACATAATATACAAATCATTTAAGACCTAAGACCTGAAATTTAACATTTTTATCCAAACATTTTAAAGATAAGTTATGGAGAACAAAAAAAACTTTAACTTACTGCAACTGAATTATAACAAATAAGCATATGGTCATTATCTACATAATAGCTATAGTCTTTTTTTAATAATTGTTTTTTATGTTAAAGTTATCATGTTAAATTAAGTTTTATAGCTAAAGTTTGAATGCAAAAGTTCATATCAATAAAATTTTTATAAGTATTGTAAATATAAGTATTATATTATAAGTACTTACAAGTATAGGTATTGCAAGTATAAGTTATTATTATGTATATTATGAAATTGTTGTTAATATTACAAACGTGCAATTTTAAATCAAAGTCAAAAAATATCAAAAAATAAAAGATAAGGTTGATGCATAACAAAAACTATATGGTTATGCATCAATCTCATTTAAAAAAAAAAAAAAATAGCTTTATTAAATTTATTAAAGCAATGTTTTTGTATTTAAAAACCTAGCTATATCTTAATCATATCTGACGGTGGGTAAACTTGGTTATGATCAATCATTTCGCTTGCCATAACTATAGAAAAATCAAAAATTGTGGATCTTTAAAAACGATTTAAAAACTTTTAATTCCTCAAACATAACCTATCCATCACAATATTCACTTGTTTGCTCTTTTTAAATGTTTCTGACTAAACCAATATTTTGATTATACTCAAAACAGTTAATACAATTACTAACAGTTTGTAACAAAACTCTATATTTTGATTATTTAAAAATGCAAACAGTGTCTCAATGGAATATTTACTACATGTTTAATAGTTACGGGAACATATGTTAAACAAATATGTTAAACTTTGTAAATTTATTTAAAAAGTATAACAGAAATTCTTTTATAATGGGAATAAGTAAATGAATTTTTAAAGTTGAGTTTCACAGTGAAAAAGTACATTAAAAAACTTACAATGTAAATATGATGTATAGAAAAAATATATTACATTAAAGTTAAACTTTGAAATTCATTTCACGCACAACACGAATTATAAATGGAAACCATTGAGTAAGTTTTTTCATGATTTTTTTAATTATTTTTCATGATTTTTTTAATTATTGAAAGCAAATAGGTTTTATTAAAATTTTCTAAATGCTGCGCATTTAGAAATTTTAATGAAACCTATTTGCTTTCAATAATTTTTTAGATATATTCTTAGATTGCTTTAATGAAACCTATCCTCAAGAGGACAAAAGTAACTTGCAAATCGTGGATAGATACATATTGATAAAATGCTCTAAAAAGAAGTAAAAACTCTGTAACAAATTTCAAAAAAAAAATTAAAATACTGATAATGAAATAAATTACAAAAACTTATTAAAAAAGTTAAAAATAAATACTACAGTAATGAAATCATTTAATACAAATCTAATAGTATGAATATGTTGTCCATCATTAATGAGATTTAGGAAAAAAAAAAATTATTTAATTAAATCAACTTCTTTACCAAAAAGAATTAATATTAAGAATACAGAAATATTCTGTAAAAAACAAATATTCGAAGAATTTAAAAAATATATTTCCGAAGAATTTAATAAGAATTTAAAAGAATTTAAAAAATATAATATTTGAATAACTTAAAAATATATTATAAATATTGGTCCAAATCTTGCTATTAAAACCTGATTTATTTAAAAACTACCTAAAACCCACAAATAACGCTATCATGTACGTTAAGGAAATCAACTATAAAGAATTTGAAAAAGGTTTTTTCCTGTTTGAAGTAAAGAAGGCACCAGGGTTTTATGAAATAACTAGTAATTTAGTTAGCTTTAATAAAACTAGTCTAAGCTGGGATTTACCCTGATATCCTTAACTTAGCAAAGGTAATCCCTTTATTTAAATGTAATGAACATTCGGACATAACCAACTAAAGACCTATATCAATACTTAATGTATTTACAAAACCCTTTGAACTTTTAATTTATAGTTGAATCTATAATCGATCCACTAAAAACAAATTATTTTACTTAAACCACTTTGGATTTCGAAAAATTCTTTTAACAGAGCATGCAATCATTGAATTAGTTAATGAAATAACTGAAGTAAGCGTAGAAAATTACAATGCGCATTTAAAACATAGTTTTACCGAAATAAATTTTCTAGCCAAATATAACTCGTCGGCCCGTTATTGTTCCGTTGTTTGAATTATTTAGCTTAAAGTTATTCAATTATTTTAATTATTATCTTTAGTTTAACTTTTTTTTATAACTACTTTTACTTTTTTGTTGCAAAAACTTACTTCTATACTCAAGAAATAATGAAGACAATTAAAATATTTAAACATAGCATTTAAGGCTAAAGTACATAGTTGGTAAAAAATATTACTTATGGTCTGCATTTTTAGTCAAAACTGTAAAAAAAACTTTTTGGCAAACTTTTAATAAATATACTTATTTTATTAAATATTTTTTTTATTACTTTTCTTATTAAATACTTTTTTTATTACGTTTTTTTTCGTTTACAAGTATGTAAGTATAAAAAATAAAAGTGAACTATTTTTTTTAAAATACATTTGCGTTTTTACGTTGTTGTTTTTTTTTTGCGTTGTTTTTTTATTACATTGTTTTAATTATGTTTAAGCATTGTAAGTACCAGATAAGGAAGTGAACCACGCTCAATAATTTTGCTTTCATTTGTTAGAAATCTTTTACTTGATTTAAAAACAGTTATTTAAACTTTTATTTGTCTTTTTATTTTTTAAAGAAGCTATGGTAATTTGCTTAAATATCGCGTACTTTTGAAAGCAAACTGTTTGTTATGAAAGTTAGTTATAAAAGTTAGTTATAAAAGTATTAATATATTAAAACAGTTTGCATTACGAGAAAAAGTGGTTTAATATCATTTAAACAGTTTGTATCACGCAATGATTTGGATAAAAGGTTTATTTAATTAAAATAGTAAACACAAACAAGTTTTAAGTTTCTTGAAATGTTTTTCATACAATTTATTTTACAGACAGAAGTAGTTTTGTAGAGTTTCTTTCGAGAAACATATCTACACATAGATACTTTTTGGAAAAAAGAAAAGCTAATCTTGATTTTTTAAAGATTTTAGTTTCTTAGATTTTTATTGAATATTTTGCTCCTGAATATTAGGTTGATATTCTCATATGAATTTGTAGTCAAAGAAATGTAGAGTGCGCTTATTTTATTACTGAAACACTTTGTTTGTGGCATTTTCTATGCACATGCAAAATTGATTGAAAAAAAAATCATAAGCAATTAGATAAACTATTGTTATACCAAGTATACCACTTTTTTCAATTAGTTCTGGGCAAACAGTGTCTTGATGTGGTTCTTTTTAGAAACATATATATACCTTTACATCTTTTGAAAAGAAGAAAAATTAGGCTTGATTTTAATATAAGTATTGTGTGTTGCTACCATATTTATTATGGATTATTTTGCTGAGAGTTTTGCATGAAAATTGATGAAGTTGTCAAGATGTATTAAAAACTTAAATAAAAAAATATTTTGTTGCAATGACTGTTTTTTATTGATTGCTTATTTATCCAATTTTCGTAGTTTTGGCATAAAACTATATTTGTTAAATTTAAAAAGGCACTTTATGAAATTTATAAATAAATTTAAATTTTCTTTTGGTTTTTTTAGATGCATTTCGACTCAATCCATTAAAGAAAAAAAGCGACAGCTGCTGAAGTAGAAGACGTAGTGAAGGAATGGCTT